TGTATGTTACATGCAGCCACCATGTGTGTTACGTGCAACAGTCATGTGTGTTACATATGACTCATTCTGTTGGAGGTGGAGACTTAAGGGGAGGTGGCCTTGTGTCATCAGAAGGTGAAATTTCATGTATGTTACATGCAGCCACCATGTGTGTTACGTGCAACAGTCATGTGTGTTACATATGACCCATTCTGTTGGAGGTGGAGACTTAAGGGGAGGTGGCCTTGTGTCATCAGAAGGTGAAATTTTTGTAAGAGTTATGAAAAGTATGCAAACTTCCATCAGGCCAAATCTGGTTTAGATTAATTGGGAGTTCGGCCTCGGTTGCTATCACAGAGTGGCTTTCTTGCCCAATCAGCACTGAGTGAAAGCGAGGAAAGAGGAAAGACTGATAAGGGAGAGAAAGGCATGAGACAGCAGCTCTCACTGTGTCCGTTTTGTCCGGATGTAACAGTAAAGTGAAACTGCTGTGGCCTGAGCCTGTGGACTTCGAGAACAACGTGGAGGCTAAAACTACATTTAAGAGAGGCCACTGCACGTCCTCCTGCGGGTGTCTCCTACCATCACACAGCCACAGGTCCAGTTAGGCATGTGTGAGTGGTCCCAAATTGACAGAAATCAGATTCAGAAATGAAATGTGAGTGGTCAGCAGGGCCTGGGGGCTCAGCTGGCTGCTGTGCCTGAGCTTAGCTCAGCTCTGTCTTCCACCCTGGCATATGCCACATTGTTTTGATCTCCAGACTCCTGCATCTGAGTGTTATTTGCAGTAATCTCATGTGGCTTTCAGCCGTCATTCTTTACTGCCACCCCTGGCACTTGTGATTTCTTCCTTAGTCTCTGGGGGACCCAGAGGGTGCAGTGGGTGGGTTATTAGGTGTCTGGACTTCCCATGATACTTGGTGCAGCTTTAACTTTTTATAATCTCCCTAGGAATGGAAATGAATCATGTAAACCTGGTGCCTCAATTTCTTTTTCTATAAAGAAGAGATTGGGGGGAAAAATGTTCCTTTATAGATGTGGTGATTATCTCATATTTATAAACTGCATTTAAATTCCCTGTAGATATTTGTAATAAAAATCAAATGTGGTAGTATTTAATGTATATTTTGCTTTAAAAATCGGTATAGAAAAGTCTGAATTTCATGATGAGGTAAGAGTTATAATTCATTCTGCAAATGATTTCTTCATCATTTGGCTAAGTTAATTGTAGCACTACCTAAAAAACTAATTTTATAAGAAGACTTACATTAGTAATTTGTAGCTTATGAAAAATCTGAAGAGCCAATACAAAACATAAAGTGACACATGATTATTGTCCAAAATTACTTAAATAAAATTAAAATAGTCATTTACAGTGAGTTCAAGCATAACATAATGGTTAAGCACATGGACCGTGGAGCTGAACTTCTTGGGTGCAAATCTCCACTCCATAACTTTACAAGTTGATCATCTTGGGCTAATTGGTTGGTCACTCTGTGCCTCAATTTTCTTGTTCTGTAAAATAAAGATATTTATAGTACCAGTTTCATCATGTTTTTATGAAGATCAACCCTAGAATAGTGTTTGGCACAGAGTAACTTCTACACCTGTATTGATAGACAAAATCTATGCAGCAGACTTATAAAGACAGCTTGAAATTTATGTGGAATTTCAATCAACCTGGTATGCTATCAATTTTGCTAGTTGTGAGTATCAACTTTTAAATTAAATATTTAAAAAACATTTTGCTATTTGAGTCCTTATTGTTAACTTGCTCCTCATATGTACATTCAATAAAATGTTAATATAAATGTATTAAATTCCCCAAGACAAATGCAGATGTCTCTTTCAGACTGGGATAACAATTTGACTGTACTCAGCCTGATTTTTGTCTATGTTCATGCAATATATATTTTTTTTAGTTTTGTAAAATATATAACATCAAATTTACTGTTTTAATCATTTTTAAGTATCTAGCTCAGTGGCCTTAAGCACATTCACATTATTGAGCAACCATCACCACGACCCATCTGCAGAACTTTCTTCATCTTCCCAAACTGAAACTTTGTACCCATTAAACAACAACTCCTCATTCTCCCCCTGCCCTCCATGACTATGTATTTTTTTTTTAAAGCACAATGTTAAGTCCAGATTGTTGTTGATGTGGTCCAGTGCGGGGTTTTGTTATGTTTTCAGGTTGAAGAAGCTGGTTTAATCAACCATCCTCCCTGGAAACTGAAAGTCATCCAGTTGTTTGAAACGCAGAGGGTGAGGCACGGAATGATGACCCTGGGGCCTAGTGGAGCGGGAAAGACCACCTGCATCCACACCTTGATGAAAGCCATGACAGGTACGGGGCAGCCAATGTCATTGCCCTGGGTGACTCATTTATCTAGTTTTGGCATATTAGAATGTTCAGGAGGGGCATGAAGGCGGACACATTAACATATTTTTTATAGGAGGGAATTCTGCTTTACTGGTTCTTGGGTACATTTCAGAGATAATATATTACATTAACAGGCTAGAGAGAAAAAACAATTTTTTAAAGTGACTATGCACTGTGCTGTATGTTTTACATATGTACGTCATTTAATTTTCATGATGAACTTGAGAGATGGCTATTATTATCCCCATTTTGTACAAAGATCAAGGCTAAAATTCAGAAATGTCTAAGGTCATAAAGATGGTAAGTAATGGGATTCAGAGTTAAGGTTAGGGCCC